CCACCCCTCCTCCCACCAAACTGTACAACCCTGTGGTTTTCTTTTTAAATAAGTGGGAGCTTTAACTCCTCAGTTCTTTATAAATGTATGCCATGAACAATAAACACTTGTTGAAGAAAGGGAGAGGGAAAAAACCTGATGAGTTGAGCTGGGGAGAGAGTGACAGTCGGGATGCAGTGAACAGCAATATCATAGGAGTCAAGGTAGGAAACATTTCAGAAGCAAACTGATGTATTGAAAAGGGTAAGAAAATAGAACTCAAAGGAACTGGGCTCATGTGCCTTTTGCTATAAGCATAGATTGAGGCAGGTCATCTCTAAAGATTAAGTTTGTGATTTGTTTTTATTTGTTGTTATGTGTCATTGAGTCGCCTGCAACTCATAGCGACCCTATGTACAACAGCCCTAAACCCTGCTCTATCTCGTGCCGATCTGATTGTCTCCAACATACCTATCCCCATTACCCCAGTCACTGAATCAATCCATCTCGTCGAAGGTCTTCCTCTCCTGTGCTGTCCCTCCACTCTCCCAAGCATGATGTCTGCCTAAATTGCACTCAGCAGGAGTGGCATCCACTCCCTAAACGACGTGTTTCTGGAAACCCTATGAACTTTGATAAATATCGATAGTTGTAGAGGGGCTTCAGGCCTTTTGTTCACAAGGTTGCTATGAGTCATGCTCAACTGTAAGGCAATCAACAATAGCTATGGTCCAAGGAACCAAGATGGAATTTCTGAAAGGCTGGAAGCCAAGCCCTCTCCTCCTCAGTCAGAGAAGTTCTGTCTTCTGCTTCATACGTTAGCTTCTCCATAGAAGTTCATTTGAACAAAAGACAGTGTGGTTAAAACAATCTTAATATCACTGGATTCAGTTAATTATTCCCTCTCAACTGTGTAAAGGTCTCTGGTTTATAATTCAACAAAACCGGTTCCACTGTTTGGGCCTATCCTCAAAATCTCCCCAACCAGACAAGAAATGCTGAGAAGACTGACTTTCCACTCATGGTTCTCAGCCTCCAAAATAAATGGTAGAGGCTGAACTCGTGGATGTGTCCACCAAGTTCTTCTGGCTAGTCACTGTGACAGGACAGCAGAAAGGCCATGAAGAGTGCCTTCTTTACCTTGCAGGCATTCTCAGGGAGCCCTGACTCCAATATAACGGTGTTTTCTCTCTCTCTCTCTTAAACTTTTTATTATTATTTGAGTGAAAATTAACAGAGTAAATTGGTTTTCCATTCATTTCATTCATGATATTGATGGCAACCCCCACAATGTAATATCAAATTTCCCACTTCCTCCCTGTGATTACCACTTCCATTCCTATTTTTGTTCTAAAAAGTACATACCTCTTTGGCATTATTGTTCACCTTCTAGGTCTGGCTATTGTTTGAAAGTTGATTCACAGGAGTTGAGATCAATTTAAGGCCTCAAGGGTGTCTAGAAGCCATATTCTTGTGGGGTTCCACTAGTCCCTATAAGACCAGTAAGTCTAATCTTTTTTTAGGATCTTAGGTTTGTTCCATATTTTTTTTTCCTTTCACTCTATCCTATTATAGTCCCTTGAGAGCAGTCAGTAATTATAGCCAGGCATCATTTAGTTCTTTCGGTCTCAGGATCATGGGGGCTGAGATTCCAGTTATAAGGTTTTTCGCACATATAAATATTGATCTTTAACTTCATTGTTTCCTTCTCCCCACGCCTCATTTCTTTCTTTTTCTCTTTGCCCCACTTCCTCTCCCCATTCTCCTGCCCTCTCCACCTGAAATCTGGGAACTGAGCCTTTGGGGACTCTGAGTCTCTTCGCCTGAGGTTTGCAGTCTAGGATGAGGGAAATGTCCAGAACAAGCAGGGATGAATTAGGAGCCACAGACTTTGCACTCATGGGAGGAGGCCCACTTCAAGAAGCGAGAACCACTTGGGAACTCTCTAACTCGATTCCTTCTTCCTGCCTGCCACCTGGAAGTGAAGTGAGATGGGCAGTGAACCTTAGAAAGAAATTCAGTTCTCTGATAACAACTCCTTGAACAGTAGACCTTCCCAGACCTCCCTGCTCATGTGTCTGACCCTATTTTTCTAGGTTTGTAAGCCCACGTCTTTCCAGCTTCCAGATCCTAAACCTCCTGCTCATTTATCTACTATCTCATTATTCAACATTTTTCATTTTAGATAATGGTGGGGAAAACCCAAATCTATCTATTTTGCACATTATGACATACAGCTGGCAGTAATGAATGACAAAGCATAAGATGGGAACAAGGCTGGCTGTAATAGTTACGTTCACATGTCAACTGGAACACAATTCTCAGTGGTTTGTCAGTTATACAACAATATAATTTGGCAGCTATGTCATGATATGATTTGGCAGTTATGTAATGATATCTTTAGCCACCATTTGTGATCTGATATAGTCATCTCTATTTTCTAATAACTCTGATTTTCATATAATGGCCTGACGTTTGGAACCCAATCACATTGATAAATGTGGAGTAAGTGTACACATTTCTCTGAGACATGAACGCGAGTTCTCAGGTGATCTATCATAAAAAATACAGTCCAGAGACTTGGAATCAGGGAACTTGGCCCAGCTTTGCACAGGATGTTTATTTACAGAATAAACAGAGGTCCTTGGGGCTGTGGTGCAGTGACACACCCAGGACTCTGGCTCCAGCTTGGTTCTTCTGGTTCTCTTGCTCACTCACCCTCTGAGGACTAATGCCAAGGACCAGGCACCTGAAAGATGGTACTAGATGAAAATGGCCTTTCACCCTCCCCTACCCCCCCAGTCCTTCACCCCAAATTCCATCTCATTAGTAGGACAGCACCCAGCCCAGGGGAATGAGGAGGAATGGGGTCAAGAGTACAGGCCAGAGATGCTCCTTCATTTGGCATCCTGCATTCTCACCCCCAGGAGTCTGTAAGGAAGCCTCTGGCCTGAGGACACCTGGGAGGTAAGATGTGGCTGATTATGTAGAAAATAGGGTAAAAATGCAAAGGGGAACAAGAGGCAGAGTGGACAGGGAAGAGGGGCGGTGGCAAGGAATACCAAGGGTAGAAGGGAAATGATAAGTGGCCAGGCCCTTCTGCACTGATCCCATGGGTTGCCTCTTAAGGGGTCAGGCATGGAGAAGAAGGCCTTGTGGGTATGTGGTATTGTTCCTAAAGCCCCAGGAGGGACTGGTGGGGGGAAGGCTGTACTCACCCTGAAGAGTCTGCTTCACCCAGACATGATGTGTTTGACAAAGGCTAGGATAGAAGATGAAAACCATCTACTAGACTTGCCCCCCCCATCCAGTGCTTTACTTCCCTCTGGGTGCCTTACACTTCTCCATCCCGTCTGCTGCCTTATTTAACCCTTCTGACTACCTTTCCTCTAGACTGTGATTCTTTCTCCTACTGGGGAAAAGGTGGAGGAAAGGACTAGACCTAAACCCAGTTCGGTGACCACCTTGCCCGCTGATGCTTGACATGGGTGGCATGAGCTCCCACAGCCTTGAGAAAGGTCCTAACATCACTCTTATTTTGGTCTATGAGAAAGTAAGTGATTTGCCCAAGGTTAGTTAGCTTGCATATCACGGAGCTGTCTCCCAATCTACATACCACCATGATTTTTTTTTCCTCAGGATAGAAAGGACACCACCTAGCCCATCTAGCGCTCACATCCTCCAGACCCACCCAGCCCTCAGCACGCCCACCCTCCATTCTACTGGTGCCAGGAAGCAAGAACATGGCCTGATACCTTCGTAATTGATGCAGCCGTTGGCGTCCTCCTGTCCGGCCAGCAGCTGTTCCACTTCAGCCTCAGTCATCTTCTCCCCTGTGTTGGGGAACAGTGAACACCTTGTTACAGATGGCCAAACTCAAGTACCCCTGGGGCCCAAGGCTCCGTGAGGCTGGGAGATGGTTCCTACCCATCCCCCATCCTCTCTCAAAGGCTTTGAAGGATGGAGTCGAGGCTTCAGAGGCCCCATGGTCTCTCCCTCTGCCTCACAGCTACCACTATAAGCAGCCTGGGGACCCAGAGCCCGAGACAAAGACAAGAGTGGAAACCCCACACCCTAACTTGCAGGCCCCAGTAGAAGTGCCTCCGGCCCGCCAACCTGCCCCTGTCTTCTTCTCTCCCAGTTTTGGCACCTGGTGAGCAAATCCTGCTGGCAAAGTTATTCCTGCAATTCCTCCAGGGCGACAGGATCGGGACATGGCTGACCCAGGAATCCAGGGGCCTTGCAGCCCACACATACACAACATGTGCCGCCTCGACACCGCCAGCCCTCTCCCTCCTCCCTGGGCTTCGGCTCTGCCCAGCCGGCATACCCAGGGTGGCCAGCACGTGCCGCAGCTCAGCACCCATGACCGTGCCATTGCTCTCCTTGTCAAACACCCGCAGCCCCTCCACGAAGTCCTCGTAGGTGCCCTGCTCCTTGTTGCGGGAGATGTGCTGTAAGATGGGCAGGAATGTCTCGAAGTCCAGCATCTTGGCATTCATCTCTACAGATGAGCGTGGACGAGGACAGAAAACAACATAGCAAAGTTCAGGGGCCTCTCCTGGCTCTTCCAGGTCAAACCCCACCCCTTCCAGGCCTTAGATGAAGGCCTCTTCTGGGTGACCTCCCAGTCAGTGATTCCAGAGGGCACAGGGCCTGTGGGAAATGTAGGTGGCTGGCTCGGGGACACCCTTTTCTTGATGAAAGGCCTAGACTGAAGGGGAAAAGAACCATATACCTCCTGGTACTTGGGGCTCAGGTAAGCACTGAGGGTGCCAGCAGGGCCAACCCAGGATTTACATTCACAATGGAAGCCTCTGCCTTGTGACAGATTGACAGTTACAGGAACGCAATGATAGAATTGAAAAATGAAACGTTTGCATGCATTTGGGACCCAGGACTAGATCATATTGCCTTACGTGCTATTCAAAAAAAATAATTTTTATAAATTCACAATTATCTCTCTTGTGAACAGCATATTTCTTCCAAATTGTAGTGTGTTAAAGCTTTGACTACTTGTTGCAAGGGATCTCTCTCTCTCTCTCTGTGTGTGTGTGTGTATGGTATTGCCATCCAGTTGGGTCCAACTCATAGCTGACCCTCCAGCTGTCAATCACCCTGGAGGCTGTCAATCACCCCAGAGTAGACTACCCACCATCCTTCCATGGAGAGGTTGATGGATGCCAACCACCAGAGGAGAAGTACAACCTTTTAGTCAACAGTGCAACTTTCTACAGACTGGGCCACCAGATCACCCAAAACCATTTTTAGATAACACAGAGTTTGAAGGGTTGAGAGACAGCGCAGGAGAGGAGCACCCCTGATGAGATGGATTGACACAATAACTATGGTAATGAGGGTGGGTGTGTCAGACAGAGACAGTGAGATTGGCTCAGGATAGGGCAGGGTTCAGAACTATTGTGCATAGCGTTGCTATCAGCCATGGTGAACTCGACAGCACTTAACAACAGAGTTTGGCATATCTGTCAACCCAGGTTGTTGCTAGAGTTGTAGGTTGCCATTGGGTTAATTCTGACTCCCAGCGACTCTGTGTGTGTCAGAGGACAAGAGCTCCCTAGTGTTGTCAAGGCTGTGACCTTTCAGAAGCATATGGTCAAGGCCTGTTTTCCAACTTGCCCCTAGGTGGGTTTGAACTACCAACCTTCCAGTCTTATATACTTAACTGTGCCTCTCAGGAAACCAAATGAACCAGAAACTCCTCCAAAATGGAAACAGCTCATACAGTTCAGAAATGTTACCGACATGGTTATGTTCCCAGGCCTGTGGCACTTCAAGCTCATCTCCTTAACCCCTCACCGGTATTTTTAGCAAGAAAAGGAGAAAGAGCCAGACACCAAGGAAAAAGAAGAGAAAGATTGGGCCCAGGAAGCCTCTAGAGAAACCCTCCCTTGCTGGGAGGCCGCTGTCCAAGGCTCCTGGCTGCATGCCTTGGGATGAGGCCCTGTGTGGCTTAGGGCAGTTGTGAACCTTTGTCCCCAACACACGTGAAAGGTGATGTTCACAAGAGGGACATTCTCCTTATACAGTTCCCAGCTTGATAGCTAGCAAGGTACCATGTGCTCTAAACTCTTGGTTTCACCAAAATCTACTGGAGGACAGACGAGTGAAAGAGGCATCTTTAGAGAGTGAATCTTGCATCTGCTAACTTACATAAAATGAGTAATTTACAAACGTTGGTACTATAATCACTATCCGGGAGAAGGATGGGCAATCTTCTCCCATGTGATTAACTGCCTCCGAAAACTCGCAGAAGAGTCAACTATGGGACAGTTCTGACTCTATGGTACACAACAACAACAAATAACCACTGGCAGAAACAACTTATTATGGTATAGCTCATAATGGTCACACAACACCCGGTGCTCTTGCATCTCAACCTGGAGCTCTTGGGCTGTGGAGTGAGAGGGCAGTTGTTGTTGTTGCTGCTGTACTGTAGAGTCTGAACCGGCCTCCAGCAGGTTTTCAGAGGCAGGTAACCTCACAGGGGGAGACTGCTCCTCCTTCTGCCAGAGTGGGCTGGAGTGGGCGGTTAGTTATCAAATCTCCACCTGCCCTTCCTGCCTGCGGCACCCCAGCTCCCCAGCTTCTGGAGGAGGAACCAGCTCAGTTTCCTGATGGAGCAAGAGCAAGTGCAGGGTACATTTTAGATCCGTTGTCTCAAGGAGATGAGAGTAACCTGGGGAGCTGAGATTAAAGGGGGAGGAGAAGTGACAGGTGAACAGATTAGAGGTGATATATGATTGAGTATTATGGTTAGCACAGGAATCCAGAATTAAGGTTGCATAGAGAAGTGTACTCGGGGTGGGGGGGGGGGGGGAGGGATGTGGGAATTGTATACTAATGAAGGAATATTTTTTTTTCTTTTTCTTTTCGGAGGGGGGAGCGAGCTGGTGGGGAGGGCTGGGCAGGGAGAAAAGTGCGGCAATGAATGAATGGAAATCCAAAACCTCTGTAAATGTCTATTAAAATTAATAATTTTTTAAAAAAGTGACAAGTCTGGGTCCGGGTCCGGAGCCCAGGGGCTGAGGACTGGCACCAGAGGAGGTGAGTCGCTCGGGCCCACACTGACCTTCGGCTTTGGGTTTGCCCAGGACACGCAGCACCTCGGCGTTGGTGGGGTTCTGGCCCAGAGCCCGCAGCACATCCCCACACTGCCCGTAGGTGATTTTCATCTCTCCAGTGGGGGTCCGGTCAAACAATGAGAAGGCCTCTTTGAACTCTGCAGAGAGAAGACCTGGCTGTAGGCCTGTGGCCCAAGTGAAGATGGGGGTGAGGGGCTGACCGGCCTCCACCCTGCTGAACAGAGGAACAACACGGTTGTTAAGATAGTTCAGTGTGGACCCTGGAGGAGGTTATGCCGACTGAAGTATCTCAGTCACAAAAGGATAAATATTTCATAGTGCCACTGTTGTAAAACAGGACTGACGTCGGGGTTGAGGGAAGACTGAGAAAGAGGGGATAAATAATGCATACAGCATTGAAACAGATGAAGGAGAGAATTGTTAGGAAGGGACATACGAATAGGTATTATTGTCATGACAGGAGTCCAGAACAAAGGCTGCACAGTGGAGTGGACCTGGGGGGAGGGATTGCATAACAATGAAAGAATTTTTCTTTTACTTTTCAAAGAGAAGAGTGAATTGGGGGGAGGAGGTGTGCAAGGAAAAAAGTGCAACAATGAATGAATGGAAACCCTAACTCCCTAAATTTTCATTAAAAATGTTAAAAAAAAAAAATAGTTCCGTGTTTTTCCTGGATCATCCACCCCAGCCCCCCCTTCCCCTGAAACCCACCCTCTATCTTCTAATGAAGAAGCAGCTGGCCCGTCAGGGTCTCCTCACCTGCTCCATGCCAGGCTTTCTGGGCCCTCTTCTGAAAAAGCCCATTGTTAGATCATGTGAATGTCTCTCTCCTCTCCCTCTACCCACCCCTCCCTGAGGCAGGCGATGGCCTTGGCTGTTATAAATGACAGGAAGTGAGAAGAGCACTGGGTTAAGAGTCAGGAGCCCCAGGGTTCTCGTCTTGGCTCTGTCACAATGAGATGTCACTCCTTGTGTACACACAGGAAGTAACGACTCCTCCACACACGCCCCTCTGTGAGCGTTACAATGAGTGTTAGAGGAGGTGGCGGTTGTATGGCAGTGATAAGAGAGGCTTGAACTTCAGCTGTTATCAGGACAGCTTGTTCCAGGAGCAATGGTGATAGGGCCTTGGAGCCAGACCACCCAGCTCTGTTCTGCTCTGCCTGTGGCCTTGAGCAAACTGTGAGCCTCACAGAGCGGAGCGCTCCTTTGCTGGCTGCAGGGAGAAGACAATGTCCGCCCGAGCTGCATGTTGGACTAGTGTATGGTAAGGGAGTCAAACAAATCCACTAGTTGTCTTCCTTACTAGTTCTGGAACCAGTTCAGAGCTATAGGGACGAGATTCCCTGGAGGTCCCAGGAAAGACCAAATTAAGCCACTGCTGGGCCCTTTGCAAAGAACCCTGAGTCCTGATGTTGTTGTTGTTGTGTACCATTGAGTTGGAACCGACCCATAGCTGACCCTCTGGTGAGTTTTTAGAGGCAGTTAATAACATGGGAGGAAGAGATTGTCCATCTTTTCCGGGAGGAGCAGCTGGTGGATTTGAACCGCATGCCTTTGGGATTGCAGCATAGCTTCTGACCACATTCATTCCTGGAGATCATTTCAACTGGAATGACATTGAAATTACCTTCTTCTATTCACAAAGAAACCATTTATTAAGCAGATTAGCAGTATAAATCAAAGAAGAATGTCCGAACGACATTGGAGAAAAGCTCTTTAAGCCTTTTTAAGCGTATTTGGAACACATATTTACTTGGGTTTTTTTTGTTGGTTTTTTTTTTTTTTTGGAACACATATTTACTTGTGAGCTGTGTGTGGATTATTTACAAATCACTCCACAATCAAAGCGGGTGCTCTTAAGACTTCTACTTGCAACTCTTCATTAGATTGTGTGTGTATTTAAAAGATATCAAACTATATGGTCTTCACATTACAGAATAATTGGGTCCAAATTCCACTTCTATTGTTTACTAGCTATGTAGCCTCAAGCAAGCCAATATTTAACCTCACTAAAACTCGTCTCTTCCATGAAACGGCATGTACCTCATATAAATGGAAGGTCTGTGTGAGGATTAAAAACTTTAGCATAATGTCTGGCCCATAATAAATGCTAAAAAAAAATAATAAAATCTGTTAGGATCTTCCCAAATTTAGTCCCAATTTTACCACTTGATGGTGGAAGCTGGACCAAGTCACTTAACCTTGTTGAACCTTTATTTCCTCCTCTGCAAGGTGGAAATATCACCTACCTCTGAGCCTTGTTATAAGGATTTCATTTTTCCATACATCTTTAAAGCAATTAACACCACATCTAGCACATATCCAATGGTCAATATATACATTTTGTTGACTCTGAAGACAGACTTTTTGATCTCCTCCTTCAATCACAAGAATTAGGTCAGATATAATAAGAGAGTGTAGCACTGGTCTGTGCGTTGCTGTAGAGAGGTCACTTGTGGTTGCTGTGATGCTGAACACTGTGACAGTGATGTACCAGTCGTGGTAATGGGCACCCATGGTGGACAGTGCTGGCTGGAGCTTCCCGACTAAAACAAGCCTGGAAGCAGGAACAGCATCCATTTATCAAATGGCTTGCCTCCGGAAACTCTATATATGAACAGTGCTCAGGCCGTTCATTCATAGGGTTGCTATGAGTCGTCTACGACTCAACAGCCTCAAACAACAACAACATAGTAAGAGAGAAGCTTCCTCATAAAAAATGGACATAATGATGTTAAATTAGGAGGGTGGGAAACGGAGGGTAGAAGGAGGCAGTGACCTGTGATTTGAGCATTTACAGCAGGCCAGGCTCTGAGCTGATCATTCGTTGAGATTTATAGTAATCTTAACAGTCGGAAGCTCTGATGACCTAGTGGCAAAGAGCTGCCCTGCAAACTCGAAGGCACAAGGTTTGAATCCACAAGCTGCTCCTGATTTCCAGCCTCTGAAAACAAGCTGGAGGGTCAGCTATGAGTTGGTTCCAACTTGACATCACATAACAACAATTACATACTGTATTATTCTTCTCACTTAGGCCAATACAGATGTGATTCCTGCCAGGACAAAATCATCTATGTCTTCCCAAAGGAAATGATGGATGAGGAAGAAATAATCAGCTATATCTTCTACCTGCTAAAGTTCCAGCCTGCTGGGGATGCTGGTATGTGTGTATAAACCAAACATTAAAGCTTAAGATTTAAAAAAAAAGCCACATACAACCCACTAACAATTGCTATCAAGTTGATTCTAACTCATAGAGACCATCTGAGTAGAATGGCAATTAAGTGAGTAGTACTTTACAGGGCCTTGATATTTTTGGCCGTGACTTTTTGGAAATAGCTTAGTAGGCCCTTCTTTCAAGATGCCTCTGAGTGGGTTTGAACAGTCGTCTTTCGGTTATTAGTCAAACACGTAACCATTTGCACCACCCATACAGTATACTGTATACAGTCACTTGCTTACTAGCAGCGTGCATCCAGTGGTGGTCAGCACCTTTCTAGAGAGAGAGAAAAATCTAGACGCTAGTTCCTATAAGAAGAAAACATGAAAGAAATTGGACCCATCTCGTCTGGACAATATAAAGCCAAGAAGTGTTTGATAACTCTCTTTAAATAAGTAGAAGATATCCAGAAAATGGTGAATAGATTAATAGAATTTCTGAATTGAAAAGAATGATATTCAACTTCCACAATCCTGAGACCCGAAGAGCAAGATGGTGCCCAGTTACCACAGCTGAACACTCTGAAAGGGATTAGGGTAGATGGTTCTGGGTAAAGTGGAGAAATGTGTGAGCAAAACTCAAAATCTAAGTGGACACACTTAGGGCCAAAGATGGTGAAACTTCCTCTCACATATTTTGGGCATGTTGTCATGAGGTGTCAGCCTTTGCAAAAAGACATCAAGCTTTTTGTCTTTTTAGTACAGGGTCAGTGAAAGGGAGGAAGATGCTCAGTGGGATTGATTGGTGGATGCTGTGACTGCAGAAATGGGCTTGAGAGTGGCTGAGACCATAAAGGACTGGGCAAGTTCTCAATCTGTTGTTCACAGGGTTATAATGAGTCATAGTTGACTCAACAGCACCTAACAACAACAACTGGCTTGACAGAGGCAGGTGGAACCCTGAGAGTATGGCCCTTAGTCACTCTTTAAACCTGGAATAAAATTCACCCCATGGCTTAAATTTCAGCCAAACAACAGGCAGACATATAAGGTAACCAATACATCAGAGAGGCATTCACTGCTTAGAATAACCAACCATATGGAGTGAAAAAGAGTATCATTTGCCCAAGGATAAAAAACCCTAAAAGTCCTAAAGGCAGGAAAAAATGGAACAGAAGGATTAATGGAAATGAGAATTCCTAGGGAGAGTGTGGGGAAAGTGTGACTGTATTCTCTTCTCTCTTCTCTCTCTCTCTCTCTCTCTCTCTCTCTCTCTCGCTCTCTTGCTCTCCACTCTCTGCTCTCCTCTCTCCTCCCTCCCTCTCCTCTCCTCTTTTCTCTCTTTCCCTGTCACTCATGGTTGTCAAGTTGAAAACAAACCATAGCTGGCCCTCCAGCAGGTTTGCAGATATTGTAACTCAACCACCAGGAGATTGCCCATCTTCTTCCTGCAGAGCCACTAGTGGATTTGAACTGTTGCCTCGGCACAACTCCTTGTCCACTAGGCCACTACTACTATAATTAATTTGCGAATGGATGAATAAGAAATCAATCTACTTTGCAAAGCACTAAAGTCACAATAGAAAGAGAGAGAAGAACCAAATATCTTAACTTTGCCAATGGTAAAATTAAGATTTAGAGAAGTCAAGTGACTCACCCTAAACTTACATGGCCAGAAAGCAACAGGATTAGAACATACACCAAAATTCATAATTCCTAAACAACGTTCTTCACACTATAATGTGAGTTTGAATCCTGCCTGTGTGAAACAGGTGAGACTGGCCAAGCCTCTCAAACGCTCTGTGACTTTGTTTTTCACCCTTAAAACAGGTGTGGCAATAATCTACAACTCAAGGAGTTGTGAGAATTCTATTCGTTCATTCGTGTAAAGGCTTTAGGACTGTGTCTAGCATATAATTATATATTATGATTATGTGATTATGATTACTACTCCTCCTCCCACAGTAAAGTGGAGCTGAGAAAAAGTGGGGAAGGGAAGGGGGGTTGTCAGTACTCACCTTCAATCTGGTCAGCAGAGAAGTCTATCTGTAAGAAAGGAACACAAGGGGGTGAGCACTGGAGCTGCAATCTGGCTCATCTCCAGAGAAAGCTGCAGGCCAAGTAATATACCAAACTGCTAACAAATGAGGGAGCCCTGGTGGCCTAGTGGTAAGAAGCTGTGCTGCAACCCCAAAGACACGTGGTTTGAATCCAACAGCTGCTCCCCAAGAGAAGGATGGACAATCTCCTCTCATTCAATTTACTGCCTCTGAAAACCCCCTGGAAGGTAAGCATGGGTTGGTTCTGACCCAACAATACACAACAGCAACACCACTAATGAATGGGCCACAATTAACACACTTTAATAGTTTCCAAAACTCCCACCTCAATATCATGCATGTATCGAATAATTAATGGCTCCAGGAAGAAAGAGGAATATTTTCTTTTTAATAATTCTAGAACCTGAAGTGACTCCCTATTAGACTTCCTTTTGGTCTAATATAAATTCTTCATCCAACCAATCCTCCTTTCTTTTCACCCCTTGTCTCTCCCAACTCCACATCCTACAACCTCTTCCTTGTACCCATGCACCCACTGCTCCCCACCTGGACTCTTCCCCACCCCCCACTTGGTGCTGCTTTTAAGTCCCTTCCTTTAATGAGACTCTCTCTAGCTCCCTATTCCATTCCATTTCGACCCCTCCTTCAACACATGTCCCTTTCAGGTGCTCTTGAGACCGGAAAGGTATTTCGCACGGCCCACGATGCTTCATTATCACTTTGTAGTTGTGCCTTTTCCTGCGCCTGTCTCCCTGAAGCCAGGGGTTTTTGTTGTTGTACACTGATGACTGGCACAAAGTAGGCACTCAATAAACAATCCTTGAATAAAGGAGTAAATTTGGGCTTCTTCCCATCTTGCATAATTAGGTCCTGAATGCAGAAGAGGAAAGCAGGCAGCTCTGAAAATGCATTAAATTAATAAAGAATGTACAAATGTGAGTCATTGTTTGACCTTGTATTTTACTTCATTATCCTCGTTTTCCTTTCCACCCCAATTCTGTCTCCATTGATGGTCATTACCAATCGTGGAACATCTTCTCCATGTGCCACCATCGCTAGTACTAACTCTGTGCCGGTCCATCCCTCCTCCACATCCCCCCAGAGCTCTCCTCCATCCGTGAGGACCCCGGGTGGAGGCAGCACAGGCCAAAAGAGGGGGAGAAAGACACCCACCATCCTAGATAGGGAAAGGAACCAGCCGTGAACTTTGCTAAAAGTGGGTAAGGAGTTTAAAGGAAATTCCTAAGTAAATGGGATAAAGAAGTTTTACACTGCAGTTTTCCCCTTGCAATGCTTTAAGCCCCAGAAGTAAATGGACAAAAGGTATCTTTGAGCAAAGAATCATCTAAGCAAAGGAAATGGGTGGATGCAATCATACCTTCATGAAAAATGTCTTCTTTTCTCCCCTACTTTAAAACAAACATTGCAGGAAGGCCCCACTGTCATGGCCCTTTGTAGGCAGAACTCACTGTCCTCAAGACTACAACAACTCCACATAGATAATAGTGACCTGACTGGCAAAGGCAGAGATAGCGGGCAGACACTGAGATATTTCTGCTCTGCTGCGTGGGCCTTTATCCCTGCTCAGCCTGAAGAGGTCACCACCCGTGGTCCCTCATAAACAATTAAATGAGTAAGAAATCTTGGTGAGAAGAGGGAGACAGGGCAGCCAGAGTCACATTTCATGGAAGGTATCTGGTGTTTGGTCAGGAAACTACAGGACAAATGTTTTCCCCTGATAAAACATGCCCATACCCTATTTTAGCAAACATTTAGTTCCTTTAAAATTATGTTCCAAGCAGAACTTGCTTTACAAGCTGATGCCTTAGACTCACTGAGCCGTCCACCATCCTCCGACCTCTATACGACCTTCCTCTAGAGGCAGCAGAGAGCCTTCCACTGGAACAGGACTCAAACTAACCCCCAGGGACTCTACTTGCACACCATCCCATAGTAAGTGAAGTCTCTTGCCCCATAAGCCTCTGCAATAACATTCACCTTGAAGATTCGTAACTCCTCCTGCTGGGCCATTTTCCAGAATTCCTCACCTCCCCTTAGGAATAAACATGAAACGGTTTCTCATCTAAATCTTTGTTTATCATCCAAAAAAATTATTTGGTACAATGAGTCACAAGCTAAGCATCACTTCGTCCCTACATGTCTCCCTTTGCAAAGTAATGTTTTCTAGTAGCCTTCTTTCTTTGCTTAGTTAAGAAAAAAAAATCTCCAAAATTGGAATATCAAAAAATGACATAGAAAATATCAACACAGGTTTGTGGAAGGGAGGGGAAGGAAGTGACAGGTCAAGGAGGAGGCACATTTCAGAGAGCACCATGACACTGTGACCCAGCCTCCAAGAACTAGGCCTGGCAGTTACTTCCTTCTGGAGTGGTGTTGGAACAGAACAAATCAGAGAGAAAACCTAGGAAGGTCCCTGAGATGGAGAAATAATGTGATTGTCTTGCCAGGCTCTACTTGTGGAAGGAATGACAGATGATCCAGGAAAAGCTCCAGGTACTTTCAACGTCTTACATTATGCCTCTGTTTCCCCAGACTGTGCCATAATCAAGAAACTGGTTGGGTAAGAGATGGTGCAACAACTCCCATTGTTTAGCCAAGCAGCTTTGCTTAACTCCTGTTCCTTGTAGGGGATTAGCGTAGCTCAGTCCCAGGTCCACTGGCACAATAATGACACAGTCCCTGGCAGGGGTGCAGGGAAGGTCATACGATTGGAGCCCAAGGGTTTCGTTTCTCTGAGCACCTGTCATAGAAGCTGGGGTTGGGCTCTTTTAACTCATTCTTCACCACCCCTAGCCCTGCGGCTAAGGCTAGATCCCCAGTGGCCCACCACTCCCAACTTATTTATAGCTCTTCATAGCAGCTTCCACTTGACCTCTTATTGTGGTGCCAAGGCTTAAAAAAAGGCCTCACTCTCCGGAGGCCTCTGCCTCCCTCCTCCTTAACCTGCTCCTCCCAGTTCCACGCCTTCAGCAGCTGGGCCACATTGCTGGGAGGCCTGAAATGTCTACATCAGCAGGCAGGGGCCTGCACCAGCTCCAGGGAAGGACCAATCCAGAATGAGGGGAGAAGGGTAGGGTAGAGAGGAACAGACAATGATGAGGCAGAGAGAACCAAGCCCAGCTCCCCTACCAATTAGAGGAAAAAGGGTGTCAGTCTGAGATGGAGGCAGTTCTCTGCGTACTCCAGGTGGAGGCCAGGCTGAGGCCACAGAAGGAAAAGACCAACTGATAATGAAAGACAAGAGAGGGCCAGTCTATTCTCACCTTTTTTTCCAGCACCACCAACTTCTTACTTCTCATTCAAGGGCCTTCGTGAGGGATGCTTTCCCAGGCCCCAGCACACAGGGCATATACACCCTGAGTCCCAATAATTCTACCATCTATTACACGTTACACTGCAGCTATCATTATGTATTTTTGCTCTGTAAAGATATCACAAGATCACCAAGGAAAAAGACTCTTCACTTTACTATGGTGACCCTAATATCACCTTAAAATGAATTGGGTGGTTGACGGGTTGCACCTCCCAGTTGTTCTCAACTAATAATCTGGAGTGGTAGAGCAGAACTTGTTAAGGCAAAGTAGCACCCTGTTTTTGAGGGACAAGGCCTGTACCCTTGAGATACCCTACACCAGCCCCACATCCGCCCCACTGCTCTACAGGACTTTAACGTAGGCCACAGACACCTGGGTCTTCACCCCAGCCCAGTCTGCATCAATCCAAGTAGATTTCTAACATCTGGGCAGGTAGGATCCTGAAGGCCATCCCTCCTTCCCTCCTTGTGGTTCACTCACTTTTACACTCTTGGGGTCAAAGGCAGGTTCCTTGGGTGGCTCAGGGGCCGGGGCCGGGGCTGGGGCCGGGGCTGGGGCCTTGGCTGCCTCCTTCTTAGGCTCAGGCTTCTTGGGAGCCATGTCGTCTTGTCGGGCTCTTCAGCGGAGGGAGGACCTAAGGAAGAATCAGAGATGTGGCGCCTGGGAGACAAGACAGGAGCCGAGGCCTCTTCGCTCCCCTTTTATCCTGTGCAGGAGCCCCCACAGAGGGGCTGCGTGAGAGGAGAGCAACTGCTGCTGGCTATAAAAGGAAGAAACATCAGCAGGGGACAGCTGACAACTGTGTATTGTCACCGGGTTTGGGGCTCCCAGCCCTCTCCTCCTCCTCTCACACCCCCACATTCCTCCTGGCCTCTACCTCTGGGACAAGCTGACTCCCACCCCCTGCTAATCGGTGGAGACCATAAGGGCCAGGAAAGCAGAGCCTCTCAAAAAAATGTCGAGTGCAGCCAGAGAGATGAGCTGACTTGAGCAGTTGATAACCCTCACACAAAGCCCAGGGGAGGGTGAGGCTTTTTTTAGCCCCTCCTGAGCAGAGGCAACCCACTGCACATTCCTTTTAAGCCCAGATCCTTTAAGCTGAGATGGCCTCTGGGTCCTCAGCTCTGCCCTGAGGCTCAGCTCTCCAACCAGAATCTGTGGGGCAATGATGACCGGTCAGGCCAACCCCTGCTGTGCCATCTTCTTAGTCCAAGCACAGGGTGAACACCACTATTTTCTAGAGCAGGCACCCCAACAACTTCAGATCTCAAAACTAGGTCCAAAACTCCCAACAACCTCATCATTCATCCTAAACAAGTGCCTAGCAGGGCACGAAGGATCCCTAGTGGTACACGGGCAAAGAGCTCAGGTGCTCACAGAAAGGTTAGCAGTTCAAACTCACCCAGTGTCTCTGTAAGAGGAAGCCCTGGAGATACGCTTCTGTACAGAACATAACCAAGCAAACTCTTTGGGGAAGTTCCACACTTGTCACATGGGATTGCTGTGAGTTGGAATCAGTTCAATGACTGACAACAACAGAGGAGTCTAGATGAGAAGCAGCGAGTACACTGGACAAATGGCCAGAAAACATGAGGCCAGGGTTTTACTCTTCCTCTAACTCTAACTCTGCACCCCTATATTCAACATGTATGTAGTGCTTACTGGGTACCAGGCACTGGGAAGAGCTATTTCGATGAAATCTCATTAAATCTTCACCACACTTCTAAAAGGCCATACTTTTTTTCACTCTCACTTTAGACAGGGGAAAACAGGTTAAAAAAAATGCACCAGTAAAATAAAAAATTAAATTAATTGATTTTTTTTTTGCATGCACTGGTGGCACAGTGGACTGCTCACTCAAATGGTCCTTAGTTTGAATCCCTCCCCTTCTTTGAGGCAGTCGGCTTCCATAAAGATTACAGATTTGGCAACCCTATGGGATGGTTCCAGGATCTTCTGTGGGGCCACTAAGAGTGAGAATCTTCTTAATAGCAGTGGGTTTTGGAAATGGGAATTTGATCAAGGTCACTCAGCTATGTAGCTCTGATCTGAAGGTAGAAACCAGATGAAATTGATTCTAAATTTTTTTTTATTTTATTATTTTGTGTGTGTGTGTGTGTGTGTATGTGTGTGTACTGTCAAATCAGATCTGACTGGTAAAGGAGGAGATTGTCCCTCCTCCTCCAGCAGAGCATCTGGTGGATTTGAACTGCGCACCTCTGGAATTACAGTGCAGCTTCTTGCCACTAGGCCACCAGAGCTCCCTTGATTCTAAAATTTACACGTGATTAATTGACATCATGGTCTTATAGAGGAGATCAGAATTGACTCGAAGGCAATGGGTTTGGTCTTGTGTTTCTCTCTAATCCAGAGAGATTGTGCTACTAATCCAGAGATGGCACCTCTTCGGCGGTTCAAATCCAGCAGCAGGGTGTCTGAGGGAGAAAATTGGACACTGTCCCATTATTTCGTGTGACTTACAGCCCAGAAGCCTACCAGAGGACCAGCTACGAACTACCTCCAACCTGATAGCAATAAGTTGAATGAAGAGCCCTGGTAGCATAATATATAAAGTACTGGAATGCCAACTAAAAGGACAGCAGTTTGAATCCACCAGTTTCTCTAAGGGAGAAAAATGGACAGACTCCTCTTGCCTTGGAAACCCAATGAAGGGTTGCTATGCCTCAGAAATGACATGAGGGCAGTAGGTTAGCTGGGTACATCTGAAAGATCAGGATGATACAAACTAAACTGTTAACAGAGCACACCCTGGGGACCGAAGTGGTGAGGGCAGAGGCATGGCAACAATTTTCTTTTTTCCCCTTTTACTTTTTCATTTCCTGTGTTAATGGAAAACTTTGTAATGAGCATATATTATTTCTGCAAAATAGGGAGGAGGGGAACCAAAAGACCCCTAAATGACAGTGAAATGTTCAAGAAAATTACCAAAAAAGCTCATCTAGTGCACAGAATTTCTTTGAGCTGACTCTTTAAAGTTCAGAAAATAAAAGGAACACAGTTGAAAGAAGCAGCAAAGCCGTTTTGCCTTTTTAGACTGAGTTCCCTCACCTATGAATTAAGATGGCAAGGCTGCAGGTTCAACACCCACTGCGAGCCAGAACGCTGCCATTTCTAACCCAGCCAGCAGCTGTGGAGGAGACAGCTCAGCTGATCTGCTCGCATGAAGACTAATGAACAGACGCACTGCTATCACGTCAACTCTGACTCAATGACCCTGTAAAATGTCCCCACAGGAGTTCCAAGGCTGAAATCTTGACGCAAACCCACTACACGTCTCTCTTCCAAGGAGCAGCTGGCGTTCTAGCTGAGTGCTTAACTACTGTACCACCAAGGCTCCTCAGAGTCTACAAAACCCTATGCGGAAGTTCTACTCTGTTACACGGGGTCACTGAGAATCAAAACTTGACCTGGTGTCCTCCAACAACAACTGCATAATGACAAAATGCAGGTCCCTCTTCGCTCTAAGTGTACATCCTGGTCCCTGGAACTCCCCATGTCTGCCCGTTCCCCAGCTCTCCAAGCACAGGCTCCGTCTCCCAGATTATTAAATTCAGAACCAAACGTGACCTAGAAACCATCTTTTCTGCCTTACACCACTACCAGATACCACGAGAACAGTGGTAATCAGATGTGAAGACAAAAAATTACTTTTCCAGCAGCATTAACATCATCACAGGAGTATGTCCTGACAGCTGACTGCTGCTGGAACTGGAAATCTTCTTGTCCTGTCACGGTTTATAGGCAAGGAAGCAAAGATCCAAGGAAGCTTTTTGAGCTGCTTGAAGACATTCAGTTGTTTTGGGCCAAGCTCAGCCAGCTACTCCCTGTGTGCTGTACTCTAATACCACAGAGTCTAGATGTGCTCACCACTCACTGGCCGGCAGACAAACCTTCAAAGGAATCTGAGGCTGAAGAAGGGGCCAGGACTTGTCCAAGAGGGTTTCAGCGCAGGTCTTTCCAGTTGTGAGCACAGAGGAGGAGGAGGATACCAAGTGGAGTGTGTGCGTGTGTCAGTGAGAGAGAGAGACTACCTTCCCCCTTTACACTACTGTTGCCACGTCCCTCTCCTCCTTTTTGCCCATCAAACCTGATTCCTTGTGACCTACCCCCTCAGACGCCTGTTAGAATCCTTCCATGATAGCATGTTCCCTCCTCTGGCCAACCTCCTTCTCCAAAAGCGTTGGGATCTCAGGCAGTTGGTGATGAGGAAGGAGAGATAGAGGAAAGCCAGTAACTCCCACCCCACTTTTCCTGCTTGAACAGACAACACAAATTGGGATTTCTCTAGAAAGCTGCAGGCTCGTGCCAGGAGGCCCAGGCCCTACTTCTGACTTTGCCAGTTACTTCCTTCCGCTCTCTGGGCTTCAGCTTACTTATCTCAAAAATGAGAGATAAACAGGAGTTTTCGCATTTTGCTCAGCACAATTCTAAGGCCCTGCCTACATGAGTCCTAGGGTAAGGAATGCAGCAAGGCCAGAGCTTGCAGCCCTCCCACCCTGGCCCTCACCTCCTGCCACTCCTGCACATCTTATGTTCTGGGTTTCTAATAATTTTCTAAGAAATAGTTCCTTTCTGTGACTTAAAAGCTTAAAAACAACCACTTGATATGATGCTTACAAATGTCGCCTCCAAGTTTTAAAAAAGATCATTCTAGTACTTCTCAGAGCTTTGGTGGCCTAAGGAGTAGGGAGTTGTGATGTCAACCCAAAGACCTGTGGTTCAGATCGACCAGCTGCTCTGCAGAATAAAGATAGGCAATCTCCCATTTGACTTACTGCCTCTGAAAACCCACCAGAGGGTCAGCTATGAGTCAGTTCCTACTCGACAGTACGTAGCAACAAGTATTTCTCAGAGGTAAAAAGTGCTAAAACCGGACGGAGTTCTCTATCTCTTCACCACTCACTATGATTTCCCATGAGGGGTGAGGTAAGGTGGTTATAGTTAAATGAACTGACACGCAGTGGCAATTTAGCAAAACTAATGAAAACGGTTTATTGAGAGGCAATAACGCAGAGTCATAGGTAGTGAAAGGTGAGCCGTGCAATAGAGTTAAAGTGAAAAAGAAAGAAAAGGGGAGAAAGGACCCCCAGAAAGACATGGACGATCTGTAAGATCACCTTTCTTTGGAATGGGAACAAATATAGATCTTTTCCAGTCAGTTGGCCAGGTGGTTGTCTTCCAGATTGCTTGGTACAACTTGGTGAGCACATCCAGGGCAGCGTCTGTTTGTTGAAATATGTCAATTGGTATGCCGTCAATTCCTGGGGCCTTGTTTTATTGCCAATTATTTCAGAGCAGCTTGGACTTCTTCCTTCATCACGATAGGCTCTTGCTCATAGTTGTTTCATGAAATTCTTCTGTGTCCACCAATTCCTTTTAGTACAATGACTCTGTATAGTCTTTCCATCTTCTGTTAATGCTTTCTGGATCATTTAATATTCTGCCCAAAGCATCCTTAAGATTTGCAACTCGAGGCTTGTATTTTTTTTCTTCAGTTCCTTCAGCTTAAGAAATGCTGAGAGTTCGGCCCTTTTGATTTTCTGACTCAAGCTCCTTGCACATTTCATTGTAATACTTTACTTTGTCTTCCTGCGCTGCCCTTTGCAATCTTCTGTTCAACTCCTTAATATCTTGATTTTTCCTTTTGCTTTGGCTTCTCAGTGCTCCAGTGCAATATTCAGAGTTTCTTTTGACATCTATCTTGGTCTTTTCTTCCACCTCTGTCTTTGCAATGACCTTTTGTAAGGATTTTGCAAGGATTCTGAAGCTTTGTCTGACATACTTTGGACATGTTGCAAGGCAGGATCAGTCCTTAGAGAGGGATATCATACTTGGGAGGGTGGAGCAACAGCACAGGAGAGGAAGACCTTCCATGAGATGGATTGATTCAGTGACTGGGGTAATGGGGGTATGTGCATCAGAGACAATAAGATTGGCACAAGATATAGCAGGGTT